CTCCAAATTTCAAAAGCTTAAAAACTCTGACGGCCACTTAAAAGTACAGAATTAAAGCCCACAAACCGACGGTGCATTTTTATGTAGAATCAAGCCGGGAGCATACTACGGGTGACGTCTGAGTTTTTCTTGCTCTAGCATAAGCTTGCTGCGTTTATTAATGCAATTACATCAACTTTGCTGCATTTTTCTCGCTTCGCAAACGGATGTCTCGAAATAACCCCAACCCGAACCACGTCGACGCTGCTGTTCGGACTGCCTTGCCACTATCTACCGAAGCAATCGGTTGCAGAAATGCATGCGGAGTCCAGTGAGAGAAGGTGAGTCCCAGCAAACGGAAGTAGTAGACTGTCAACCTGTCCGAAGTGCCGCAGGAGAAATAAGATTGCGCATGTAAAAGCGGCTATAATAACACGCACACGAATTACTCGGCCATGGGAAACTTTCAGAACAAAGCTTCGAAATGTAATCACATAAAATGGCCGGTAACAATTTATTAAAGGCATTACCACGGAAGACAAAAATTCCAAAATTCGATATTATGTTGGTGGTAATAGAGATTATACGAGCGGAGCAGGATAGAAAATAAAAAAATATAGCAAACAAAACTGGAAGTAATATATACAATTATTATAATAAGCTAATATATACAGTGAACTAGCGTGTGGTCATCAAGAAAATAAAGAGGAGGCAATTTGGGGCTATTCGGATGCGAATTGAATTCGAGGGCTCGAAAAGCCGAACGCGAAATAAATACGACGTTGGTCAACTTTGTTGAGTGCTAATCGGTTCCAAAAATTAGTCTCATTTTTTAACGGGACAGCGGGTACCTTACTTCCGGAAAAAAACCTAATCTGTGCATGTATCACTCTATTTTACGGTTATCTCTGATGAAAGGTTCTCCGCAGAATTCGAGACGTTAAACAAATAAACTTTTTGTTCGAGCGATCGCATCGTCTGCATATGAAAAAAGGGTTTACGAACCGCAGGGTTGAAATAACGTTTGGGAGACTGGAACTATTATTTTAGATAGTTTTATGAATATCAACGGCGTAAAACCCTCACTGTGAAATGATAGAAAAACATGTGTTTGTTTCTGTTTAATTCCGTATATTTCTCCCTTTCTATCATTAAGATTTCGGTGGGGAGTGCAATGCAATATGTGGATGGACTGTATCGTACCTTTGTGGTGAGAAACGAAAAATAGCCCTTTGAAAGTAGTTGCATGTCATTTAAGATTTCCGTAAAGTGGTCTATGTAATATCTGGAGGAACTATGTCGAAGGTCTGTGATGAGAAACACAGCCGATGCCAAAATAGTACAAAGAAACATGCCTTCTACTAGGAAAGAGGTAGGCAATTACGCAAGTTCAACAAGGGCTTAGTGATCCCTATAACAGATTGTTACCAACGAGCCCTTTGTTTTGGGGTTGCTGGTTAGGTAAAAAGTATTCTGTTCAATTAAATACTTTCACGTCACATTCGTTAAAAGATTACTGTATGCTCAAGAGAGGAGATTGAACATCAGAGTAGAGACAGCTACCAGTTCCCCACCAACGTTTATGGTAAGTGTGTTTTAATGCTCTCGCTTCCCCGCTATGCGCAGTTATTTGCTTATAGCCAAAATATGTTTAGCTACAGGGACAATGGTGACCGGAATGGCCATTTCTGGCTTAGTAACCGTTATTGGCAGCCATATTCAATTGGCTAGAGGTCTAGCGCCCTTTAGATCACATCAGTGCAGATCTAGTGGACAAAATCCGGTATAAATTCAGCAGATATATCCGGATTTTTCCAGTAGGATTTCCTGATGGAATCCGCTTGGTTTTGCTACTAGGCCCCTCTGGCACAGGAGACTGTAATTTTTCTCCCTTTTGCTTCGCTCGCGAACCTAGCACGACTCACCCTCTCACAAGTAAATTGTTCGTCTATCTTGTTGTGCCAACCGGTCTAGTGTGACAATCAAAATTCCTCACTAGTTTTACTTACTTCTAACGACGGTAAGGGCCATTGGTGAATTCAAGAGCGACGATGAAATTATGATTGTCCCAGCAGACGAAGGATGGACAACCGCAATAATGGGCAATCCCAGCTGTTCGGAGTCTACTTGATCCACGTCCCCCTAGTAGCAAATCCAAGTGGATTCCATCATGGAACTCTACTGGAAAAATCCGGATATATATGCCGGATTTTGTCCACTTTGGTACTAGGGAACCATTGAGTACGAATTCGTTGTCCTATTGGGTTTTGATTGGGAGGATTGGCAAGAGGAGGTTGACTTTCAGCGATCGGTTACGGGACTCACTCTTCCCGTTATGCCTTGGGGCTCATTCTCAGGCTCCAAAAAACCAACTGGCACCAACGTCTCTCTTCCCCCGTCTCTCTCTATCAAGCATGACTAGACGCAGTCATGGCTTCGCCAGTGGCCAGTATCGCCTGAGATAGCAACTCTTGGTTCTGGCAATAAAGCCCTTCCACAGGGATGATTTCTGGCTTTTCCTGCAGTGGGTGTTGACCTGACAATTCACTTCTTCTGAGCATAAACACTGCCCAGACGCACAGCAATGACGTAAGGCACCAACGCCACCACAACCGGTTTCTTACAGTCGGGTAGATGGGCCCAATCTCTCTCAAGTTTAAGTGTACCAGTTGATGAAAAATCGATAAAATACAGACGTCTGAGTTTGGTTAAGGTAGAGAGAACTCCGCAAGCAGCGGATGACGCTCGATAGGCTTGGATTAGCCATGATCAATATTATCGTCGTAGTCAATGATGACCACCTTTAGTAAATTACCCTTATAACTGGAGTGAAATTCGAAGGGGTTTTGGAGTCGAATTTGAAAGTGGAGCAGTTCAATAGGCCAATCCCTAACGATGATGGGATAAAGAAACGAGAATCCGATCCCAATGTGTGCTTAATGTTGCAGTGTAAAGTAAACAATTACTGAAAGTAGGCAGGGTCCGGGAATCGAGTTATGGTAGACCGTGAAACGCTGGAATTAATAACAATAAACGCGTGGGCACGTTCTAGGCTTTGCAGTTGTCGTATCCAATGCTCCCACTGCGAAACACATCCACAGGATGTGACAAGTCGAACAAATCTGTTATGCGTTATATCGGGTAGACATCACGCAGGTGTCAGGCAAGTGATCTGACAATGAACCAAACTGTTAGGAGCTGTGCTAAAGATGTCCACAGCCCTGGCGAGCTCTCAGGTCAGTGTTAAGAGTCGGCCTAACCGACTGCCAGCATAACCTTGCAGGCTGTCTTGACGAATCTCTCCTGTGGCCGACAGCCAACAATGATTCCTTATTCACTACGAACGGCCTACAGATCATACGGCTGCGCTTGTGACTATCTCCTCTCGATGACTTTTAACCGCTGGGCGGATATTCACTCGCACACAGACGCAAATATACGTGAACGCACCACTCCGTGGCCACGCAGAAGATGGACTCCATACCCGATACCCCTCGAGTAGTCCAACGCAGCAATCATGCAACACTTGAACTTGCTTCACAATCACTTATACGCAACTGCCCCATTGTCACATAGGGACTTGCTGAGACTTGCAAACATCCTCAAGCGTGACGGGACGCAGGCCACACATCAGTACAGGCTCTGTACACAGTAAAACCCTCATTTGGGTGGCTTCCACTTGTACGCCCTTTGTTGGGACAGCCCGGACGCGAGTTATCACTCGGGCAATCCTGACGGTTCCGGAACAAAGGGACCTTTCTGATGACCGGTTCATGCAGTTATAAGCGACCTTCAAAGGGCAAACATTAGGCCAGGACAAAGGAGGTAGGCGCAAGCGAGACTGCCCCGGGATCGGGTTGCTGTTGTCTGGAGACCACGCTGAGGACAGATGCACACGCCTGCGTAAGCAAGCGCGCGCACGGCCACTCGTGGAGAGCCAATGGGGAGAAATGACTACAGGCCCTTAGATATGCTGCCAGCGCTGGAGACGCTGCCAACGACCCGAGATTCTGTTGCTAGAGACAAGACGTGCTGTTGGCCGAGACGAGCTACCGACGACAGAAGCCAACACTGATGTACAGGCAGAACTAGTGACAGTAAAGTACTATCTGCTATCCTGTTCTGCCTTCTCTTCCCAACACGTAACTGGGGGACAAATGGTGTTGATATAGGAACACACTCGGTTATTATACCCTTATTGCTGTGTTCTTCCTTGGGGATTCAAACAGGACATAGTCAGACGGTGACATCTCAGCTTGTCATTGTTACAACACACACACACAACTCTGGGGCAGCTTCAAGCGCGTTACATCTTTTTCTTATAACGAGAAAAGTGAGCTGAGCCGTCAGCCGCCCCAATCTTCTCCATTTCCATCCCCGGGCCCCAGCTACCGTGCGAGTCGGACTGATTCTAACAAAGTATCTCCTGGTGTGAGAAATGACTGCGTCAAGAACAAAAAACTACAACACAGGAGTCATCATCCCACACTAGCCTTGCTCTATTTTTGTCAGTGGGAAAATGAATTTAAAAGTAAAAATTACATTCTCTCTCTGTCTCCCTTTCACAAGCAAGCGGGAGCAAAAACGACTGAGGGGGACACAGTCTCATGCTAGCTAGGTAGCAGTTACTTCACAACTGCTCCGAACAAGTGAGCCTAAGGACTGAGATCGTCAGGCAGGGCAAATAAAAAGCCACAACAATTGTAGCACAAATAGGGTGGGGGGCGTCCTAACGACTACGCAGTGTCTGAGACCGAAGCAGAGAGATTGCGTTTGTTTCACTAGGAGCTGGAGAGGGGGGTAGGACAGGGCGCCGGAATGAAAGAGTTCAGGTTAAGGGGACAATGAAAGGCGATGATGTGGAGGTCAGGCGGGGGGGAAATAGGAAAAGAAGAGGGCATGGCAGAAAGAAGACGAGAAGGGGAAGCGCAGCGTGTGTGCGGAAGCAAAATCACAGCCAGGAAACCGCGTTGTTTGCATTGCATGTGTGCGAGAGACGATGGCGTGAGTGGGGATCCTCCTCAGCAGGGAGTTGAGCGCAGAAGACTGTAGTCGGTAGCCGGGAAACGCATCGGCAGCTGACGTTCAAAGTATTTGGCGAGAGGCGAGAAGCCTAGCCGATGGAGTTGCTGCAGCAGAAGAAAAGCAAACAACGGTCCAGACATATGACTTATGGTTCCTACCCGCTCAGAGAAGTACAGTACTCCAGAAAGGATTGAAGGGGTCGGTAGGAAAAAAGCATTTGATAAATTTCGTGACAGAAAAGGGCATAATACAGGGCCAACCGTAGATTCCGTAGGGAGGAGGCTTAGTTGTCACAAATGCGGCCGTATCAACAATCTATTGTTCTTATACCGATTATGCTTGGGTGAGAATATATTAGAGGTAACACCACGGAAGCCCAAAGCCCCAGAATTCTGTAATATGGGACCAAAATGTAGGGCAGTACGGGGGCGCTCTTTCGCTGATTTCCTAAATTCAACAAAGACTCGACAAAAATGGCCATATTTCCGCTATGAACCCACCACCCAGTTGGTACTATAGTACAAGTATGGTAGGGGGCAACGGGTAATGCATTAGAAGCGATCGAGGATAGTACATTAAGTATGGGGTAAGGTGTAATAGAAAAAAGTTCCCCTGCCGCCGTTTTCTGTGAATCTCAATAATTCCATAGAGAGTTGATAGGCACGTGCCAGAGAAAGAGGCTACAGACAGGACATATGCATAGAGAAAATACGTTATGAGCCCGCTGTCAAGGCCCTATTCTCTTGCTACTATGGTATAGGCTAAGTATCTTTTTATGATCTTATCTTCCATTGACATTCAAAATTTGACTACCCTATTTTCGTGCTGTATGAATTAACACATATACGTACATTTTATGATATTTTCCTGTTCATTACTCGCATTGGCACGCTTTTTTTGCTTTATATTATCTTATTATAATAATTGCATCTACTCTTCCCTCTTTCTTTTCGCTATATTTCCTTTATTTTCCTTCCGCCGCGGTAAGGCCCCAACCGTAAGATCCTGTATTACAGGATTTTGGGGCTTTTGGTCTCCGTGGTTGCACTTATAACAGATTGTTAGGTATACTTATTTAACACTAGACTATTGCCATCCTATGAGCTACTGCAAGGATAATTAAGTAAGCAATCTTTTGCTGGAAGAAAAAATGAACCTTCGCAGACGGTGGCTCTCCATGTCATCTTTTTTTCTTGTCCGAAGCAATCAAATAATTCTGTCCGGAATTTTATCGCAAATTCTTTCTAACGTAAAATTCGGCGCCAGTACGCTTTTTTATCCGGAGCAAACGATTAGGAGGCGGTCGAATCAACCCTGTCGTTGGTTAGGGGAGGCGCAGAGAAGTCATAAGGTTAAAATGTCCTTACTCACTCGTAAAAGGGGGAACTACCTAGACAACATGAGGGGCGTTGAGGACTATCAATAAAACACACTGGCTCCAGCTGACGAGAATGATTATGATGATGGTGACGAGGATGATTATCAGAAAGTGGAGGAGAAATAAGAGGAAGGTGAGGATAATGACGATGATAGCGGTGATGATGACCAAAAATATTAATTATACTGGGTCTGGTGGTGTTTATGATAATACTTGCAGTGACAGTAGCGCGTCCGTGGTAATTGCAAACAAACTTACGGAAATCAGCCAAGGGAACGCAACACTGGCGCAGGCGAATCCAGCCTTGTCCATCTCACGTTTAGTGCCCAAAGAAAATTCAGTTGACGGTGTTTTTTGCGAATTAGTATCTTCGTGTAACTAAAGAAGGTAGAGAAAACCAAACGAAGTGTCAGCGCGACGTCGGACATTTAAACTTATAAATCAAAAGTACATTCGCGTGGCAGCATTTCTTTCAGGTACATAGTATACTACTTTAATGACTACTAAATTCCAGGGTCATTCTGACAGTAAATAATCCTCCATAACGGCAGTTGAGACTAATTTGAGTCGAAAGCCGTACAATGTCCTTTTTTCTTGTTTCTCCTTACCTGACAACGTCGAAGCTCTCTCAGCTACAGTTTCACCCAACTTGTATAGACTGGGGCAGCTAGTTCCGAACAGTGAATACGTGCCTCGATGATTGGACATTCCTTCAAGTGCAGGGCAAAAGCAAGAGAGCTGTAGGCCATGGACGTATGGGAGATAGAAGAGAAAGTCATGTCGATGAGGAGTTACCCCCTGCTCATAACAAGTCAGCACCCTCAGTTGGACACACTTGAAACTATAACTGCGTGCAAACAGTCGTGGTTGCGAAGGCTGTCAGTCGATACGGCAACTTGCACTCAGTAGACTACATCGTACCGTGACTCTGCCGCTCGAGACCTCTCAAGTGAGGGGTGTAATACGCAGTGTTATAACCTTGTGTGTTCCTGCGTCAACATCGGTTATGTCCCCCAGTTACGTGTTAGGAAGAGAAGGCAAAGCAGGATAACAGATAGTACTTTACTGTCAGTTATACTAGTACATCAGCTCTGTGTCCAGCAGCTTCTCTCACCGCTCGCCACTTTAAGCACGTACATATTAGTGTCTGCCGACTACAATATC